AAATTCCATTCAAGGCATTTGATCGCCGAAATTAACAGTAACCTTTGTTGATTTTGGTGATTAACCAACAAATTTAGTCTATCTCCTTGTATTTGTATTTGCAAACACCAATATGCTGGAACTGGCATTTGCCTTTCCATTGGAAAATTTCAGCAACATTAAGAGGGGGGGGACCTGCAGCATGGGTAACAGCTTCTCCATATCAACCTACCCAGGCTTTGCACTCTGGAGAGTACACTCCAGCCTTGACAACCAGAGCGCAACTCCATAGTCTCCCGAGACTGCAGGACGCCTACTACTACTTGTCCACCCTGACATATGAGGGGTAACACAATCAAAGTGACCCATAAGTATCAAAACGTTTACTTGCGTAGGAAACACTCTTGACAACTGTTCGGGAACTAGAGGATTAACCTACACCACACACTCGGTCTCAGTGACTAGCATTTATTGCATTAATTTATTACTGTCTTAGTGACATGTACTGATTTCAGTGATATTTATTACTGTATGCATTGTGGTATAATTGACTGTGTGTTGTGTATTGCCCGAGTACAGTATCCTGTTTGAACTCCAGTCAATGGTTCTTAGATACTGCAAGTGTCGTATGCAGATAATGTCAAGAGTTTATTAGTGTTTACCCCTGTAAGCACAACTAGGTGAGTACAGTATTTAAATTACTGGGGAGCCAGTCGGCCGAGCGGACAGCACGCTGGACTTGTGATCCTGTGGTCCTGGGTTCGATCCCAGGTGTCGGCGAGAAACAATGATACCTGGTTGATACCTGGTTGATGGGGTTCTGGGAGTTCTTCTACTCCCCAAGCCCGGCCCGAGGCCAGGCTCGACTTGTGAGAGTTTGGTCCACCAGGCTGTTGCTTGGAGCGGCTCGCAGGGCCACGTACCCACCAGAGCCCGGCTGATCCGGAACTTCTCTTAGAAAACCGTCCAGTTTTCTCTTGAAGATGTCCACGGTTGTTCCGGCAATATTTCTTATGCTCGCTGGGAGGACGTTGAACAACCGCGGACCCCTGATGTTTATACAGTGCTCTCTGATTGTGCCTATGGCACCTCTGCTCTTCACAGGTTCAATCTTGCATTTTCTTCCATATCGTTCACTCCAGTACGTTGTTATTTTACTGTGTAGATTTGGGACCTGACCCTCCAGTATTTTCCAGGTGTATATTATTTGGTATCTCTCTCGTCTCCTTTCTAGAGAGTACATTTGGAGAGCTTTGAGACGATCCCAATAATTTAGGTGTTTTATCTCGTCTATGCGTGCCGTATATGTTCTCTGTATTCCCTCTATTTCAGCAATCTCTCCTGCTCTGAAGGGGGAAGTGAGTACTGAGCAGTACTCGAGACGGGACAGCACAAGTGACTTGAAGAGTACAACCATTGTGATGGGATCCCTGGATTTGAAAGTTCTCGTAATCCATCCGATCATTTTTCTGGCTGACGCGATATTTGCTTGGTTATGCTCCCTAAACGTTAGATCGTCGGACATCATTATTCCCAAATCCTTGACATGCTGTTTTCCTACTATGGGAAGATTCGATTGTGTTTTGTACCCTGTATTATGTTTCAGATCCTCATTTTTGCCGTACCTGAGTACCTGAAATTTATCACTGTTAAACATCATGTTATTTTCTGCTGCCCAATCAAAAACTTTGTTGACATCTGCTTGTAGTTTTTCAATGTCTTCAGCAGAGGTAATTTTCATGCTGATTTTTGTGTCATCTGCAAAGGACGACACGAAGCTGTGGCGTGTATTTTTGTCTATATCAGATATGAGAATAAGGAACAGTAGCGGTGCAAGGACTGTACCTTGAGGTACAGAGCTTTTAACATCGCTTGGACTCGATTTTATCTGATTGACTGTTACTCTTTGTGTTCTGTTCGACAGGAAATTGAGTATCCAGCGTCCTACTTTTCCAGTTATTCCCATTGACCTCATTTTGTGAGCTATCACCCCATGGTCACATTTGTCGAACGCCTTTGCAAAGTCTGTGTATACAACATCTGCATTTTGCTTTTCTTCTAGGGCTTCTGTGATTTTGTCATAGTGGTTGAGTAACTGTGACAGACAGGATCTTCCCGCTCTAAATCCATGTTGTCCTGGATTGTGCAATTCATTGTTTTCCATAAAACTAGAAATTTGATTCCTAATCACTCTTTCAAACACTTTTATTATGTGTGATGTTAGTGCAACTGGCCTATAATTTTTTGCCAAGGCTTTACTCCCCCCCCCTTGTGCAGCGGAGCTATATCTGCAGATTTAAGTGCTGCTGGTATCTCCCCTGTATCAAGGCTCTTTCTCCATATTACGCTGAGTGCTCTCGCTACTGGTACTTTACATTTCTTTATGAATATTGAATTCCATGAGTCAGGCCCAGGAGCTGAGTGCATAGGCATATTATCAATTTCTCTTTCAAAGTCTTCCGAGTTTGTGGTAATATCCGTTACATTATCTGCAGCTTGAATGTCATTCATAAAGAAGCTGTCTGGGTCATCAACTTTCATGTTGTTTATTGGTGTGCTAAACATAGCCTCATACTGGCTTCTTAGAATTTCACTAATCTCTTTGTTGTCCTCTGTGTACGTACCTTCATTTGTAATTAACGGTCCAATATTGGTCGAGGTTTTGGATTTTGATTTTGCGTATGTGAAAAAATATTTCGGATTTTTCCTTATCTCTTGTATAGCTTTCTGTTCCAATTCCATTTCCTCAGACTCATATGATCGCTTCAACGTTTGTTCTATTTCCTCAATCTCCCTGCTTAGGCTTGTTTTCCTTGCTTGTGATAGTTGTGTCTGCCGAAGCATTTCCGTTATTTTTTTCCTTCTCCTGTACAGTCGTCTCCGTTCTCTTTCTAGAGTGGTCCTCTTTCTGCCCCTCCTCACAGGTACGTGCTTCAAGCAGACCTTGTAAGCTTCAGCTGTCAGTTGAGCTATTCCCTGTGTGGGAGTTTTGTCGCTTAAGACCGTCTCCCATTGAATGGTTGCAAGGTCTACATTTATTTTTTCCCAGTCAATCCTCTTATTGTTGAAATTGAATTGATTGAATATTCCTTCTCGCTTGTTGGGTCTCTTAGACCTACTACCGTTATTTATGCTAGTTCGCACTTCAATGAGCTTATGGTCTGAGTATGAAGTATCTGAGATTGTGATATCCCTGATTAGTTCATCATTGTTTGTGAATAACAAGTCTAGTGTGTTTTCGTTCCTAGTTGGTTCTGTAATCTGTTGATTGAGCGAGAATTTGTCACAGAATCTCAAAAGTTCTCTAACCTGTGGTTGGTTATTTCCCGGGTCATTCCCTGCTATGATATTTGTGTTTGCCGTTCTCCATCTTAGACTCGGTAAATTGAAATCTCCAAGAAAGATAATATCTGGAGCTGGGTTTGCTAGGTTGTCAAGTATGTTCTCTATTTTGTGCATCTGTTCTGTGAATTCCTCAATCGTTGTATCTGGCGGTTTATATATTAGAGCATGCGTGAGGTCCGTAATGGGCAGAGTTTCTTTCACCCTATGCCCCTGTTACCTAGCAGTAAAATAGGTACCTGGGTGTTAGTCAGCTGTCACGGGCTGCTTCCTGGGGGGTGGAGGCCTGATCGAGGACTGGGCCGCGGGGACACTAAAAAGCCCCGAAATCATCTCAAGATAACCTCAAGATACCTGTAACTGTCTCAAAGTTCTAAAAATGTTCTCAGGAAAGGAGATGAGAGGAGAGCACCAAATAATATATACAGGGAAGACATCGGAAGGCCTGGTCCCAAATTTGCACAGTTACTGGAGAGAAAGATACAGAAGGAAATGCAGAATAAACCAATGAGGCATAGATGTGTCATAGGCACAATCAGAGATCACTGACTGAACACCAGAGGTCCATGGCTGTTCAACACTCCCAGCACGCATAAGAAATAATGCTGGAACAAAAATGGATGTCTTCAAGAAGCAATTAAATAAGTTCTTGTAAGAAGTGCTGGACTAACTAGGCTATAGTGGTTATGTGGGCCTGTGTACTGCTCCAAGCAACAGCCTGTTGGACCAAATAATCAAGTTGAATCTGGCCCTGGGCAGGGCTCGGGAAATAGAAGAACTCCCGAAACCCTCTCCAGACACGATTCAGGATCCAGAACCCCAAAGCCTAACACTAAAATGTGAGAACCCCTTCGTAGATATTTCTCTAAAATAGCATTTGCGCACTGGAGCAAGATTGATGAGCCAGTGACAGGAAATACAGGTGTATTCGTTTGGAGATAGTGGTGGTGTACACCCCTTCTCCATTTGAGATACAGTGAATCTTTGTGGCTGTTGTCACATGTATTTTCTAGCAACTGACAGCTTGTCGAGTGACCACCGTTGGGATTGGTGCTCTTGCAGTCATTGCAGAAATATATACCTTCACAGAAAGGGTAGGGGGCAGAGAGTTAAGAAAGGGTATGAGAGGGAAGCAAGAGTAAATGAAGGGTAGGAAGTGGCAGAGTAAAGAAAAGGTAAGAGAGGGCAGAGAGAGTTAAAGAATGGGTATGGGTGTAGGGAGATAAAAGAAAGGGTAGGGAAGAAATGCAGGGAGAGTAAGGAATAAGGATAATCATCTGTGCATACGTGTATCACATCTCACTTAAGGGACTGAAAATACAGTAGTGGATTACAACCAAACATTTCCAACCAAACATTTGGGTTCCAGAAAAAAGTCTTCTGATATCAGAATTCTATCATACCTGTCTCACCATTAATCATCCAACCCTCACAAACAGTATGTCACATTTTGACATATATCACCTAAGACCAAAAACTGACATATGAAAAATCATAAGAGGCTCTCCAAATTGACATGATGTCCCATTTTCTATTCTTGGGTTCTTGGGTTAGGTTTGAGCAATTTAGTACATCAGTTTAGTGACATCATGAGTGCTCAAGAGAACAGGCAGAGTCCAGCCTGTGAACAAATCTAATAATTATTACTTAATAGCCAAATCAACTTCAACAGTACGTACCTTATGCAAAATATGACAACGATACGTGCCAGCCTCGGGCTCTCCATCGTGTACAATATTAGCCACCAAGTCATAGATAGGTTCAGGGTGTTTCAGCTTCACCTGTAAATACAGTGAAGATGGTTCTGAATTAATTGCTGTCCTAACAGTAATCTTTTTAAAACACAAAAGGAGAACATATTCAAAATATCCGCTCTAACATTCAAGTTTTAACTAAAGGGAAGCAGATGTCAACACTAAAATTAGTTTATATAATGAGATATTGTTCATAGGTTTCATGTGTACTTACTGCACACGTATCTTGGTTAACAAAACACACAAAATAATTTTTACCATTATCATGGACATGAAGCCTGCACTTTGGCTTATCAAGGGGACACACTCCCCCCTTAGGTCAACTACTGACCTTCCCCAGGATACAACCCACACCAATTGCCCAACTTCAAGTACATGTATTACTGCTAGGTGAATAGAGGCAGTAGCTGGAAGGAAACATGCACAACCACCCTCTGTATCCTGCTTGGGAATTAAACCTGGGTCTGTCGGTTGAGAGCCAAGAAGGATTTTTTTTTTTTGCAAGGATATTCCTGCACGGGCCCTAAGCCTCTGGCTGGCTTGTTGCCAGCCTTGTCTACCTTGTTTAAGTCTACCTTGTACCCTGGTTAAATCTAAACAAATACAAACACAGATATTGAAATTAACTCCTCATGCCATACTGTGGCAGGTCACACCATACTGTGACAGGACATGCCATACTGTGAAAGGACTTTCCTAGGGAGTGGATTTGGGAGTTGGAGGAGCGTGCACCATCCTTGGCATACGCGCCTCCGACTCCCAATTCCCGGTCGGATGCAGTGTCAAAAGATCGCTCTCTGATGTTGAAATTCAGACAATATGGCGAGTGTATCCAGTAAAGGGTGAGCGCCAGGCGTACTGGAGCCTCCCAGGCCATCGCCCTCCCCATTATCACCCCCACATGTGTAATCTCCAATTTTTTAAGAAAGTGATAATATAGATGAATCATTTTCTGGGTTCATTCATGATGCTTCTGATACAAGGAGTATAGATGAACAGTGTTAGCGACTTCCATAGTGGTGTTACTATGCCAGTGGTGGTGTTACTATGCCAGTGGCGATGGTGTCAGTACAAGGAGCAGGGGTGAATTCACAAGGAAGGACTGTGATAATTTTGTACCACACATATTGATATTGAAAATATTGAAAAGCAGAGGTGCAACAGGTACTCTGAGAGAGAACTCTATCAACATCAGAGGCCCGAGACTGTTCAACACGCTTCCACTACACATAAGGGGCATAACTGGCCGACCCCTCACAGTGTTCAAGAGAGAACTGGATAAGCACCTCCAAAGGATACCTGATCAACCAGGCTGTGACTCATACATCAGGCTGCGAGCAGCCACGTCTAACAGCCTGGTTGATCAGTCCAGCAACCAGGAGGCCTGGTCGACGACCAGGCCGCGGGGACACTAAGCCCCGGAAGCACCTCAAGGTAACCTCAAGGTAACCACAAACCACAATTTGATGATACTGATGTTGCACCCACTTTAACATATACCGTACAGGTGAAGATATGAGTGAAAGTGAATATTTTATGGCTTATTTTGATGAGCCAATCATGCAACATGTTGTTGACAAAACCAACAGGTATGCATTGCAACTGCAACTTATGCAAGTGGCTTATTATCTGCTTCATGTATGACATGATGGAAGGACACCACTGTGGCTGAATTGTATGTGTTCTTAACTCTGTTTCTGCTTTTGAAACATTCCATGAAACAAGTAATACATGATTATTGGAACAAATTTTGTTCTGTTCCAAGTCCAGTGTTCAATAAGTCCATGTCATGACACAGGTTTCTGAGATTTCTATGGTGCTTACACTTTGAAAACATTGCAAATATTGATCAAAATTATCGACTTTGGAAAGTGCGAAAAGTGTTCAGCGAAATCAGAGAAAAATTTCGCGATTACCGTAGAGTACTTTGCACCAGGACAGAATTTTGACATTGATTTATTCCTAGATCTTTTCCAGACTACCTTACACTTCACAAGCTTGGCTGCATACCACCTACAGGATCTAAAGCCAAAGATGTACGTGAGTGCATTGTTTGAAAGCACACAGAACAAAGAAACAGGAAGCAAAATGATGTGCTGACGGTCAGCTCGGTCACCTCTGACCTCAAGTTCCTGTTCTGGATTTTTACCTGTGTGGCTGTACCTGCATTATGTATGGTGTGGAGGCCAGGTGTCTTATTGTATGTGGAGCAGTACAAAGGTGCGCCTAGGGTGATCTTCTCTAGGTGCTCGGTAAGTATTACCCTTGCGTTTCAGGATTATCTTCCTTGGGGCGTTTGGAATCACTCTCGTTTGAGGACTTCATCGCTTGGTGTTGTCTTCGCCCTTGGGGTACGTCAGGGGTCTTGGGCTTTCCGTCTTGCTCCTGTTGAGGAAGTGTTATTGGCTGGGCAGAGAACACTGTGGCCGGTGCAGCTTGCACACGCAGCAGCCGACAATTCTCTCTGGCTGTCAGTTTGTTTGTGTCTGTCTTTGAGGGTTTTGTTTTTCTTTCTAGTGTTTTCACTTTTTGTTCACGGAGGAGATTTGCCTAGCTTCTTATTAGGCAAGCCTAGGTTGTGATGGTGGTCCTTCTCTGTTGCCCCCAAGATTTCACAGCTACTACTGATGGTCAGTTTGCCTGCTGACAGGGTTCTTCCGGCTTAGCAAGCCCCAGTGCCTGGGCTTCCTGAAGGACTTACTAACTCTACAGGACCTGGAAAACCCCAGTGGGCTTGGAGGTACCATGGATGTGTCTCTCAAGTCCTCTCTCACCTTGTGTGAAGTTGAAGGTTATTCGTCGCCACCTCAGGATGAAAATCATTTGTACTGCCTCCTCCATGTTGCCTGTTGGGTCGGTGACACCTGTGATCCAGTCTTGCAGGGCTTGTTTTCCGCTTGTGCTTCAATTTATCCATCCCTCGGGAGCCAGTCGGCCGAGCGGACAGCACGCTGGACATGTGATCCTGTGGTCCCGGGTTCGATCCCGGGCACCGGCGAGAAACAACGGGCAGAGTTTCTTTCACCCTATGCCCCTGTTACCTAGCAGTAAAATAGGTACCTGGGAGTTAGTCAGCTGTCACGGGCTGCTTCCTGGAGGTGGAGGCCTGGCCGAGGACTGGGCCGCGGGGACACTAAAAAGCCCCGAAATCATCTCAAGGTAACCTCAAGGTAACCTCCCTTGTCTGATGATCTCAGGGATCAAGCAGTGGCTGCATTGCATGCTCAATTCTCCTTATGGCCAGGTTGGTTGCCTAGTTGAAGGCCCCTTAGCTGCCCGCTTGGGTTTTAGCGACTTTGATTTGGGGGCATTAGTCGCTTCGGCCTTGGTTCCGGCAATGCCCCTGCTTCCTTACCAGGTGGGCGTGGTTCGCCCTGCTCGTCCTCCTCCCCTGCTTCCAGCTCCCAAACGTCTGAGGGATTTCGGAATTGGGGCAGGGCTTAGCTCAGTTTAGCTTTTTAGACTTTTCTTTGAAGCTTTTCCCCTGGACTCTGCCTTTTCTTCAGGGGTGGTGGGCTCTGCCCTGGGTTATGTGTCGAGAGTTCCTGGGGCTGCAGGGGAGTCTGCTTGGAGCACTTGGGTTCCTTTGAATCCTGTTTGGGCCCTTTCAGAGAATGTGAGGGTATTGAGTGAAAGCCTACGGCTGTGGTTCTGGTTTTGGCTGCTGTGGCATCATCTGCCTTGCTGAAGCTGTTTGCACCGATCCTCTGCAAGGCGGTTTCTATGTTTTTCACCTCTCGTCTTGTGTGTCGGCAGGCCGTCCTTGATCTCTCTTTGGATTCAGCTTGGGCCCTGGTTCTGCAGTCTGCCTTACCATTCTGTCCTCTATTGTTTCCCGAGGACAGCTTTGCCCAGGTTTTTCTCGGTGGCTTCGGCCAGTTGCCGTCCTATATCAAGATTTATTGTTGTTCCAGTGGGGGTTGTTACAGGACCTCTTGGTTGAGTCGTGCCAGGGCTCGGGCCTCATTTGGTTGGGGTAGGCCTATGGTGCCAGTTTCACATCTGTGTATTCCCAAGGGCCTTCTTCGACTCTTTGGCATGATGTTCGCTCTGTGCGGTGATTAGCTTCTCGTGGTTGGGAGGGGAGGCTGGCTCTTTTTGGCCGCGGTTGGTCCCACGATTTGTGGGCTTTACAGGTTGTCTCGTCTCTTCTGGCCTTTGATGGCATTGAGCAGCCCTTCCTCCTATCAGCGGGTCAGGTCTGGGGGGGGGTGGTAGGTCTTTTTCCCCGTCCTTCTGTCAGGTCATCTTGGAGTGGCTTCGCTTGGGCATGGTTGAAATAGCCTCATCTCTCAAATGGATTTCCTACTTGTTGCTAGTTCTGAAATGGGGCTGTGCAAATCTTCGGGTACATTCTGGCAACCCGTTCTCGCAAATTCGTAAAGTCAATATTGACTTATTAACTACGTGCATAGGTGATATACTAAACATAATAGATACCCTTAAAAAGATTCATAGAAAACACCGACCTTACCTAACCTTGTTAGTATCTTAAGATAAGCATCTTATTGCTTCGTAATTACAATTATTACTTAACCTATACCTATTATAGGTTAGGTAATAATTGTAATTACGAAGCAATAAGATGCTTATCTTAAGATACTAACAAGGTTAGGTAAGGTCGGTGTTTTCTATGAATCTTTTTAAGGGTATCTATTATGTTAAGTATGTCACCTATGCACATATTTAATAAGTCAATATTGACTTATTAAATTTGCGAGAACGGGTTGATTCTGGACTTGTGTCATCTGAACTGGTTGATTCCTTGCCCCTCTTTCTGGATGACCACATTGTCCCAGGTCTAGCATCTTCTCAAGCCAAGCACGTGGATGATTTCCCTGAACCTCAAGGATGCTCATTAGCATGTCCATATTCATCTTGGGTTCAGGGAGTGGTTGGGTTTTGCAGTGGGGCGAAAGGCTTACCGCTTTTGTTGTCTTCCTTTTAGCTTGAATCTGGCACCTCACATTTTCGCGCGCTTAACCAGGGTTGTGATGTACCTTCTGCGTCTGCCAAGTCTTCTGGTTCTGTCCTACCTCGACAACTGGTTGGTGTGGGCTCTCAACTGGTTTTCTTGTCTGGTAGCCAGGGATTTGGTTCTTTCTCAGCTTGCCAGGGTTTAGATTTCCACTAATTCCTGGTGAATTAGTGAAAATCCCAGTTAGTTCCTTCCCAGGTTTGAACTTGGCTGGGCTTAGTGTGGGATTCTCAGACTGCATCAGTTTCGCTTCCCCCTGCAGCTTTGCTCCAGTTGCAATTCTGTCTTCGGCTGTTTTTGAGGGGGGACCCTGGATCACTCGGCAGTTGTTCGAGCAGCTGTGTGGGAGCCTGAACTTTGCCCTGCTGGTTTATCTGTTGTGCAGGGTTTAGATTCAGAGGCTGTTCTGGTATGTTTGAAGCAGCCTCTTTAGCTGCTCTCATGATCTCTGGGTTCATTCCCCGGTGTCCTTGCATCGGTTGTTGCGTCTCTGGCTTTTTCTTTGTTTTTTGGGGGGGTTCGATGCCATGGCGCCTTCCTCTCCCCTCACTCGATGTGTTCACTGATGCCTTGTCCCTCATTTGGGGCTTTGTGACCTGCGCTCACCAAGCCGGCCAGGGGCATTGGGTGCCAGCCTTCCTTCAAGCTCACAGCACAGTGCGGGAGTTTGTGGCCGAGTGGTAGGCTCTCCTGCGGATTTGGCTCCATTCAGACTGCTTCTCTGTGGTGCATTGTCTCAACCATCGTACTTCATTCCCTCTTTCCACAGAGTGGACAGTCGACGCTGTCTCCTTCCCTTGACTTTGTCGAACTTACGGGCGCCCGGAGGTACACCTCTTCACATTGGCATGGTCTCACTGTCTCCCACTTTACGTGCCGCCATTCCGCGACTGAGAAGCTCTCGCAGTAAGTCCCTGTTTCTTTTACTTATCTGTGGGTAGTTAGCTTCAGGGAGCTGACAGGGCTCCCCAAAGAAACCAGCATTGAATGTAATGAAACGCTATTTTCTGGGTGAGCTCCGGAGGCTCCCTTACACCCTCCCTCCCTTCAGTTGGTGGTTTTTCATCGTTCAAGTACTACAGTGGTGGGCTGCAGTAGCGGCTCCCCCTCCCCACTTGGGTAGTGGGGGTGCCCTAACGAACAGGAGTGCTAGTTGGATGAATTGTTGCTTGTTTGTTTTCTTCCTGTGGGAGTATTTTTACTCTTTTTGGACATAAGTCACAATTTTCACCAGCTTGTGGTCTGTTCTGTTTCGCCTATCATTCTGGACGATTCCACAGTTGACGGCAATTATGACACACTTTAAATGTAAAGTGCTCACAGGCCATTGCTTCCCTGCGCCTCTCTGAGGGGGCCAGGTTCTGGCTAGTGGTTCCCGGTAGGCACAAGGATGCCTGTGACTGATGACCCCAAACTAATATAGCACATATTAGTTTGAATAGCATCAGGGAGCCCCCGGGGGCCCACCCAGAAAATGGTGTTTCATTACATTCAACGCTGTTTTTTTTTAAACTTTGAAGACTGAATTTTTTATATGAAACCCTACATGAGCAGTCTGGTTAAATTACCTCTTATCTCATTCTTTCTAATGAAGGATGTTATTGCATCAGCCATGTTCTACCTGACTCTCTGCTCTCGAATTTGCCTTAACAAATTTCTGTTGTCAATCACACATCCCGGCATTTACACTGATTAACCATTTCTAGCACTCCTCCTTTTACACTAATTTCTAGCACAGAATTTTATAATCTCCCCACCACCATAACTTCACTATTTACTTTCACTATTAGTTGTCTTATTTCACACAACAATAAAACTTTTACGTCACCTACAACAACTCCTTCCGTCATTCATTTTTTCATTCCATTACTCCCTGCATTTTCTTTCACACCAATGCTTATAAGCCTAACTTGATTCCACTCTTTATTCTCACTTTCATTCAGCTGGGTCTCAACCTAGCACATAAAATTTTCCTTCCACAAACATTTTAACCACTTGCTAGAGGAGTAAGTATCATATGGGCCTGCCTCTGTTTTGGGGGCCTGGGAAGGTGTAGTATTCATATCTGAGGCAAATTTTGCCTTACACATAAATGTGGACAGATACCCACAGCAAAATATCCTAACTGGCTCATTGCAGGCAATGCACCTTTTGGTGAGTGGTGGATTTATCACACCCATGACAAATTTATCTCGTCAACCAACAATGTGTGTGCACGTACCTCTTCAGTTAAATACTCTGACAAGTCGATATTCTTCACTGGAAAATTCACAATTGTCGGATTTTTCTCAATGTAGAATGTGTTCTTTGTGAATCTCTGTAATAATTAAACACGTTAGAATATAAAACATTCACAAAGTATAGATACATTGAGTTTAGTTAAAATATAAAACATTCAGAGTAAAGTACAGATATATCTTATCAATGATTTTGTAAATTACAGCTGTTTGCTCAACTCGCTAAGGAGAATCCAATGCCTTCATACACGCCTTAATCCTAAAAAGGCATTATCATCATACATAGATCCTCTAGGTAAAGCAGTACTCATCATAAGTGTATTAGTTTTCATTACAGGGTTATTTTTCAATAACGTTAGATGTAAATACCGTTAGATGATTCACCGTTAGATGTAAATATGGTTATAATAATTCTATATGGATGCAATGGAGTTAATCCTAGATCCATGAAAATTCTGCTATTGTCATTATTTGCTTACTATTGACGAGGTTATCTTGTGCCATAAGCAATGCAATCATCAAATCACAATTTGGTGTCAACATTACTAGAATGAATAGCAGCAAAGTAGTGGGGTGCAAGATGCTTTATTTGAGTGGTGTCAGCCCAACAGATTTAAATACAATATAGGAGTACATATTACACTGTAGGCCTTATGAGCAGCCACGGTATTAACACTCTCTCCACCTATTTTGTGACAACTTTGTGGTGCAGTTATTAATGAATTATTAATATTAACCAAAAAGTTTAAAAATTGATAAAATGACAAAATACAGGTTTGCCAAATTCAACAGTGAAAAAACCAGCGTAGCATGAAATGAAACGCCATTTTCTGGGTGAGACCCGGAGGCTCCCAGGAGCTAACCGGGCTGATATGAATGAATTAGACCCCTGACATCAATCAATGTACATGGAGTTCTAAGCCTACCGGGGACCACAAGCCAGAACCTGGCCCCCCTCAGAGAGGCATGAGGAGCAATGACCTATAGAAACCCCGGTGTGTTTGGAAGCATTCTATGTTAGCCATTGATCGAGTCAGGCACCCAGAAAGGTAATTGCCCCAAAACAAACCCATATTCCGGTTAAAATATTGCAACTGAAAGCCGAACTAGTGGACACAACTCCCCAAATGAAAACAAGCAAACGAGCATGACGTTACCCCGTCACCGTGCCTCTGTCTGCCCAACCCACCCCCTCCCCGGGAGATGGAAGGGGAAGCCCCAGACCCCAGCATTGGCTATCCACACCCCAGTTCTGAGGCTGAATGTCAAAACACGTGAAAAACCGCCGACTGCAGAGAGCGAGGGTTACCGGGAAGCCTCCGGGTCTCACCCAGAAAATGACGTTTCATTACATTCAACACTGGTTTTCTGGGGGTAGCCCCTTCAGCTCCAAAAAGCTACTTACGCAAATACAAAACAAGACGGAATTACCCAGGAGGCGGTCGGCACTCGCTCCTCAACGTGAAGTTGGGACAACTGGCTGCAACAGCCGACCCATTGTGACAGGACCCGACTAGGCCCAGGAATGTTGACAAGGTAGCGAGCAGCCAGGACCCTGTTCGACCCACAAAAAACCCATGCCCGAACGTCAGCCAATGATATGTTACCGGCAGCCAGCGCAGAAAACTTACGAACACTGCGGGCACAATGATAGATCGCAGGCTGGCTGAACCGAATAACCATGCGGACGACCTGGGAGACCCGAACCCTGGAACAGGGAAGAAGGGAAACTGGGTTAATCTAAAGCGCTTCCCGGCCACTGAGGTCGTGATGCGCAGGTAACGGCAGAGAGCTGTAACCGGACACAACACATGATGCCCCCCTGGCCTGACCAAGTATCAACAACCCAAAAACCCGGAATGCAGCAGTCTCATTCTTCACCAGAAAAGAAGAAGGCAACAAACGAACAAACATACCACCAGCACCAATGTTACGAACCCGATTCCATCGTCGGAGCACAGAGCAGCGACGTCAATGCCATCTGTGAGTCCGCTCCCGAAACCCCCACAAAATGGACAACGCCATCTAGTGGTGGCAGGATGATACCAGCAAGAGGCACAAACTCTCGAACAACCTCCTAGTGACCCGGGAGCCCCCCCCCAGAAACAAGCGAAGGCGAGAATGCAGCCAAAGCAGACTCCGGAGCGAGAGACAAGGAAGCAGTCAGAGTCCCACACAAGACCCAGACAAGTCCAAACCTGAGAGGGAACCAGATGGGACTTCTGCCAGTTCACCAGGAATCCGAACTCGGCGATCTGGGAAAGAACCAAATCCCTGGTGAGCAGACACACGGACTGGCTGGAAGCCCAGACCAGCCAGTCATCGAGGCAGGCCAGCACCCGAAGACCTAAGAGACGCAGACGGGCCACCACGACCCGGGTAAAGCATGTGAACACAAGAGGTGCTAGGTTCAACTCGAATAGGAGACAATAAAAGCGGTAACCGAGATGCCCCCCAAAAAAACGAGCCACTGAACTTTGGATGAATCGGGACGTGCCTATAAGTGTCCCGGAGGTCCAGAGACGCCATCCAAGCACCCGGCTCCAACATAAGCTGGACCTGGGACAGAGTAGTCATCTGAAAAAGGGGCAAAAACCCAAGGGTTCAGACAGGACAAGTCCAGAATGAACCCTAGGTCTGCACAGTCCCGTTTTAGGACTGGGAACAGATGGGAAACCCACCTGAGGGATGTCATCGTTTCAACCACACCCAAGCGTACCCACTCCGAGATGACCCGACAGACCGCAGGAGAAGAGGCCTGCCCCGTCAGCCCCCGAACCCCCCGAAGGAGGAGGGGCCACCCAAAGCCACTGCAGGCCATCAGAAAAGACCCGAAAAGCCCACAAATTGTGGATCAGGCATGAGCAAACAGAGTCAGCCTCCCCTTCATCACCCCCATCAATAGGGCGAACCGCAAAAGGGCCGATGTCCCTTACGAGAACCTGAATTATGCACAGAGCGATCACCGCGCCGACCAGATAAAGATGGGTCCAAAGGCGGCGCCAACCCAGGAACTCGCACCAGCGACCTATCACAACGAGAGGAACCCCGAGCCCAGGCACGATCCTACCAGGAGGAACCCCCCCTCCCTCAAGCAACCCCCGGGACCCCAGAAGGACCAACAAGTCCAACAACGAAAGACAATAAGAAGAGGCTGCTTGCAGAAACTGCTCAACTGCAGACTCTGCAAACAGCTAAGGACAAAAGGGCGACGAAAACCTGAGAGCCAAGGCTCAGGCGGATTCAAAAGAGGAAGCGAGCACCACTTGCCAACATGCGAGACACGAAGTGAAAAACTGTGACACCGCATCTCGTAGGATTGGCGCAAACAGCTGCAATAGAGCAGACGACACACACACCGCCAAGACCAAGGCACCAGACCCAGGAACGGCTCCAAGCGCCTCCACATCCTCCTGAAGCCAATCCGAAGACAGCTCCAGGAGGGAAAAGAACCGCAAGAACGAAACCAGCAGGCCACGAGTGCGCAAGTCCTCAGTCTGAAAGGGAGGGAACCTGCACGTGAAGTTGAACCATGCCAACATCAGCTGAAGGACAGGGGCAAACAAACACACATTGAGGTGCTCGAATTCGCCCCCCAGGTAAACCTGGACCACCGTCAACGCCTCGCACCACTCAAGCATGCGGGTACGACATCACAGGGCAGTCTGCTAGCCAGGACAGCTCCGGAACCTCATAATGAATCCAGTATGGAGACGAAGACCCAACCCTGAGCGAAGACAGATCCATTATAGAGGCATAATCCGGGTCGTGCAGGAGATAAGGGGCAATGGCTGCCCGCACCTCAGTCAGCAAGACATGGGAAGCCGAAACCTCTAGAAGGACAAAACCGACGGACCCGAAGGGACACAACCGAACCCTAGGAGGAGCCGACGCCAATCCAACTCGAACGCAGGGGGTGAAAAATCCCACTCCGTGTAACAGTAAACCCTGCTCGGAGGGTAGGAAAACCCAGGCGGGGTCCAATGGGGCCCAATGCCCCCAAGTAAGCCCCTTTCCAACCCCAGAAACCTCCGTACCAGGACCACGGCCGAGTCGTCCTCCAAAGCTCCGGCCTCACAAGAAAAAGCTGGGGCAGCCGGAAAGGTAGGAAGGAAGGGAGCCCACTGGTCAGACTCCATCGCCACAGCTGGAGGAACCAACTCGAATGCCTCTGTTGCCACCCCGGAAGGGACAACCTCCAAAACTGCCCGAGTCTCAGAAATTTCTAAACCCTGCCCCGACCCTGAAGTGCTCAGACGCTTCAGAGCCAGAAGCAGGGGTAGGGGGAGCGGGACCAGAATAAACTACAGCAGAGAAGAATGAGCGGGTGCGGACTGAACCAAAGTCGAAGCGACAAATACCCACAGGTCCAGGTCCCTACCCACAAGTCCGGGTCCCTATAAGCAAAACGGGGCAGCCTTGGGGCCTCCAGGGTAGCAATCAACCTAAATCTAGCATGCAATGCCTGAGCCGCCCGCACCTGTATAAAGCCATCAGCGGACTGGGTGGACAGAGTCACAAACAAGCAACAATCTCGCAGGACTCTGGGATGAAGGTGTCACTGACCCAACTGGCAGCATGATGGAGGCAAAAACAGTTAGAATCACCCTCTGAGCATCAACTTGCACAAGGTGAGAGGGGACCCAGGGGGTCGCATCCATCGGACCCCATGTGCCCCCGCGGGGTTTCCCAGGGCCCTTAGACTTGTAATCACTAAGGGTAAGCCCAGGCAGGGTACTACGAACAGGCACTAAAGTCTACCAATTAAAACTACTAAAAACTGAACCCCGGGATGTGTCCACTCATGGGGGCCTAGCAGGGGGGTACCACCCCTAACACAGATATATAAAACCTAGGTCAGAGACAGGGCAACAAACCAAAAGGCAGACAAATTCCCCCCCCCCCCCACCACCAGGCAGGAAAACAAAAACAAAAGAAAAACCCCGCAAGAGGACAACGTACCCAGGCGGAACAGAGACAGTCGCTATAGTAGATGATAACTCGCTGTGCAGTACCCTGCACCCCTACCAGTGCAAACTACCCCTTACCCTAAGGAAAACAAGGGATGAAGAAAACCCCCAGCACTCTCAGAGTGGTCAATTACTGAGCAGCAAGAGACCAACAGAAGTAGACCCCAAGGTGACTTGTGGAAGATAACCCCAAGCCTCAAGGGCAGTACTTACAGGGCACCTAGGGAAGGGAACCCTAAGCACATGCAGCCCGAGTACCAGCGAAGATTACCCCAGGCTCAGGCACCACCCTGAAGACAGCACTAAACACAAGGCCCAGCACTGAGACAAGAGACAGGAGCTGGAGTCACACGATCAAGCCTCAATCACATTAGCCGAGAACTGGAGGAGTGGGTCGCTGACGCGAGGGGTCTCGTACTCCCTCTTCCTCCTCCTCCCATGGAGGGGAAAGCTGAGCAGACGGTGGCGCTGCAATGTGGTGATGTTATGCTTGTTTGCTTGTTTTTCTTTGGGGAATTCTGTCCACTTGTTTGACTTTTAGTAGTAGTTTCAACCAGAATAGGGGGTTTGTTTTGGGATGCTTACCTTTCTGGGTGCCTGATTTGGCCAATGGTAGATATAGAATGTTCCAAATCACATGTGCATTTCTACAGGTTATTGCTCCTCGTGCCTCTCTGAGGGGACCAGGTTCTGGCTCGTGGTCCCCGGTAGGCTTAAGAACTCCATCCACACTGACTGATGCCAAAGTCTAATAGTTTCATATCAGCCTGGAAAAGCTCAGGGAAGCCGAAGGGACTCCCCCTAGAACGTTCTTTCTAACATCCCTGTGACCCATTTGGGTACTCAATTTCCATCTGTGTCCCCTTATTTGCGTACCAACCGTGTTAAACAGTTTATCCTTATCTACCCTGTCAATTCCTCTGAAAATTTTATAGGTAGTGATCATGTCCTGCTTTACTCTTCTGTCTTCCAATGTCGTGAGGTGCATTTCACGCAGCCTTTCCTCGTAACTCATGCCTCTTAATTCTGGGACTAGCTTAGTGGCATACCTCTGAACTTTTTCGAGCTTCGTATTGTGCTCATTGGCCTATGAGTTCAACATAATAAAGTAGATGATACATAACCTTTGAGGGTTAAAGATTTTTGGAATGAATAATAATTAAAAGAGGCAGATAATCATGTCTAGAAAATAACTCACCTTGTGATACAAGATGAGATATGGGGGAAGTCCTGTCAACTGGAATCTCTTGAGAATGCTCTCTTTGTAGGTCTGATATTCCTTTCCTGTTTTCCCATCAAACTTGCTAAGCAATAGATACAAGCTCACCTAAAAAGCAAGATAAATTATGTAACCATAATATGCTCACAAAAAACTGTTACATGTTATTTTGGTATACACAACCTCAGGCACACACACACAAAGAGGCGAAGCTCAACCCCCACAAGCACAACTAGACGAGTACAAGTTATAATTTGTGCTTAAAGATGTCAGATGTGAGAAAAATATAACATTTGTATAAACTAAATCCCAAAGAGTTTGTGTGTACCCAAGAGAAAAGGTAGACCAACATCTACTCAGATTTGGTGTTCACCCATGCATGTCTGTTATGGCTATCCATACCAAAGCTATACAGGTGGCTGTGTGCCTTATCCTGATCAACACACATTCACTCTTGGCCTGCCAGACATACGGACAGCCACCATACACAGCTGCCTTGTCAAACACCATACAAATATGATGAGTCAATCCATTAGCATAATGTCTGCCAGTGCTAAGGGCTCATTACCAATATTGGTAATCTTGCACACAGTTCTGTAAACACTCACTATCCTGATATGATCTTTGTCCTAGAAACATTTCTGGATGATAAGGCTCATGAGAACTTTGCCAAGATTGGCAGATCTTGGATTGAATTGGATTGAACTATATCTTGTGGATGTGTCAGACAGGCAGGGCCAAGGAGGGAAAGTTGTAGTTTGCTTCAGAAAATCTGTACATTGCAACTTATTGATGTCATCACCCATGTTCCTCTACAATTATAGGTAGGGTGCTTCCCCCAGTCAACTTCACAATGGACACTCTCGACTCTCTATTAATGCAACATAACTGTTAGCATATTACAATTGTGGAAGACCTCAACTAGTATCTCATTCAGAGAGATATGGTACCTTAGTCTACTTGCAAAGCTTCATGCACTGTGTATCTCTGCTTCACCTTACAGGTAGTTAAGGACTACCTTCAGCAGTAGACTACGGGTGGTACTCGATATAACAATCAGAAAGCCACTCAGTTGGTACCTACCTTGAGTATGCTACACTCTCATGGATGATCTCCCCCCCCCCTCCATTATTTATCAAAATTCTGGCTAAGATAGTGATATATGCCAGAAGACTTGTGTATAGTCTTGACCCATCCTAGTTCGATTGGTCAATACATCAGTGATTTCAACACCAAAGAGTTATTGGTGGCTTATTTTTATTTATAAGTCCAATGTTCTCAAGATTTCCCACCTAGCCCAACTGTATGGATAACAAAAGTTGGCAACTGCAACACAATGGAATGGAATTTAATGGAATGCATTAGGAAGTGATGTGGTGGAGGCTGACTCCATACACAGTTTCAAGTGTAGATATGACAGAGCCCGATAGGCTCAGGAATCTGTACACCTGTTGATTGACGGTTGAGAGGCGGGACCAAAGAGCCAGAGCTCAACCCCCGCAAACACAACTAGGTGAGTACAAGGCAATCAGCCACCAAAAGCCTACCACAAGCTATTTCATACTCAATTACATCACTCCATCAGTGCTCATTTATTCCTAGGCTTACCTTCACTTGGAACATGTTCTCTCCATATGTAGATACACATGAAATCAATTAAACTGACTTATGAAAGATCTAGCACACAGTTGGCTAAACCTTCATCCAATAACATGACTAAATGACCAATAAATAAAGATAACTCCTAATGGAAACTTATTAATAAGCTCATAAAATAGATAAGATTCTAGGGTCAGGCTTCATATGAGATGATGCAGGATTTCCTCCAGAGAAAAAAAAAACCAGCGTTGAATGTAATGAAACGCCATTTTCTGGGTGAGCCCCGGAGGCTCCCTGGAGCTTATCGGGCTAATGTGTGTTATGTTAGACCGGGACATTAGCTAAGGAGTTCAGACCTACCAGGGACCAGCGCCAGAACCTGGCCCCTTCAGAGAGGTTTCAGGGAGCAATGGCCCTGGAAAACCCCATATGGTTGGGGGTTTTCCTTATCTGCCATCGACCGGGGTTAGGCACCCAGAAAGGTAGGCGTAACAAAACAAACCCCACATGGTAAGAAACTACAACAAAAACCGAACAGAGAGGTAGAAAACTCCCTACAATCCCAAGGAAACAAGCAAACAAGCAAACATCACACTTTACTGCCGCGCCGATCGTCCGTGCAGCCCTCCCCACCCCGGGAGGGGGAGGGGGGAGCCCCGGACCTACCGCGCCGGCTGCCAAGCTCCAGTTCGGAAGCTAAGCGTCAACCAACGCGAAAAAACCGCCGACCGGTGGGAGGGAGGGTTTCCAGGGAGCCTCCGGGGCTCACCCAGAAAATGGCGTTTCATTACATTCAACGCTGGTTTTCTGTGGGGAGCCCCTACGGCTCCCTGGAGCTTCATACCCAAAGAGAAGGAAAAGAAAGGGCTAACCCGGGAGGCGGCCGCCACAAACTCTGCAACGCAAAGCCAAGACAACCGGTCGCAAACCTGCGACCCAAGGCAACAAGAACGCCCAAGAACAGACGCACACATGGATGGGCGGCCAAAAACCTGTGCGACCCACAATTCCCTGCGCCCGAAATGAGCCCGAGACGTCACCAACACAGCAGCAATTGCTGCAAACGTCTGAACAGCACGGGCGCAAAGACAGACCGCAGTAAGAAGGAAAACACTGCGGACGACCCGGGAGACCCGAGCCCTGAAAACAGGGAACGAAGGAACCGGATCAACCACAGCGCATCCCCAGGCACGGTACGCCGGCAACAGCAAAAAGCACAACTGGACAACACAGGACGCACCCACCGGCCAAACCAAACAAGTACCAACACCCCAAGAACCCCTCCGGAAAGCAGCCGTCTCGACCGTCGCCAGGACAGAGAAAGGCTGCACACCAATAAAGCTACCACCAGTACCAAAGAGGAGGAAACTGAAACCGAAGGGGCTACCACAAACTGAGGGGAAGAGAAGAAGGCACCCTGAACAAGGACCAGGATGGCTCAGGCGACTCATGAGCAGGCCGGAGGGGAAACAAAACGCGAGAAGACGCAATAAACGTCATACAGTCTCCAAGACGAAGCTCGCAGGTGGGACACCGTCAACAAAGCCACCTGAACACCATAGAGATGGCGATACCTGCCTCAAAATACCAGACGCGAAGAGCCAAAGAGAAGGGCGAACCAGTCACGGACAGGACCGATTCGGCCTGCTGAAAGAGGCGAAGCCTCAGGAAAAACGCCCCGGGTACGGACACCTATCAAGCAGCGTCTGAAAAGAAGGCCGGGCCGGCCACAGTGGAACCATAAGGACTGTTCTCGTGGGAATGGGCTGCAACTGAGCCAGAACCCGAAGCAACAGCTGGACCGGGAGAAGAGGTACAGGTACCCCCCACCTCGACCAGGCCTGCCGAAAGCCTCCACCGTGAAGTCCTCGCAGGTGGGAAGGGCGCCACAAAACGGGCGACGCCTAGACCACGCCGACCCGAAGACGTCCATGGCCATGAGTCCATAAGCCCAACAGAGCCAACAAAACGCATCGGCGACGACTGGCCAACCCACGAAGAGGAATGAACCGAGACAGCTGTCCACCAGGACGCAGGACACACCCCGGACACGAACCACACGGTTAACCAAACCCCCTGTGGTTCCGGCAAGAACCACCGGAGAACAGTCCAAACAGAGCTGAATGGTAGAGTACCTAGGGACCCAAACCCTCCGAAGCGCAAACCAGACAGCCATGAACACCTGAACCGGGCTGTGAGCCCGACGGACAGACAGACTCCATCAACCTCGGCCGACCTGGTGAGCACTGGTCACAAAGCCCCAGCCGAGAGACGACCCGTCCGTGAACACATCGAGCGAAGGCTCGGGGAGCCGCCAAGGCACGGAACCCCGAAAACCCCAAAGAGGAAGCTGGTGACGCAGCACCAACACCAGATCCCCAGAGGAACCCAAGGAATGCAAGAGGCGGAAGTGGAGTCTCCGTAGGAACCAACCGACGCTGGAGCCAAACCCGACTCCGCGGGCAGACAAGCACGCCGAAGTGCAAACTCCCGCACAACCGCCCAAGCAACCGCTGAGCAACCCGGGACCCCCTCCTGAACAGCCAAAGGCGGGACCACAGCCACAGTAACACTTCTGGAGGGAAGACAATGAGGGGCCCAAGAGCCTGAAACAAGGCCCAGGTCCGAACCCGGGACGGAAACAGAAGGTAAAACCTCCAGATCACCAGGAAACCAAACCCAGCGATCTGGAAAGAACCATCCCCTGGCGAGCAGACAAGCGGACTGACTGGGAGCCCACTCCAGCCAGTCGTCGAGGTAGGCCAGACACCGAATCTCAGACGCAGACAGGGCACTAAGATCCGGTAAAGATGCAAAGAGTATACAAAGTGCCCTTCACAAAATAGGGAATGCAATAAAAACAGCAAACCTGAAGCCCCACCACCAAAGCAGTGTAAGACAATCATATGAAGACATATTATGACATATGACAATCATTATATGACAATATGACAATTATAATCAAAGCATTATATGACAAAGAGTGCTGGGAAGACGGGACACCACGAGAGGAGCTCTCATCCTGTAACTACACTTAGATAAGTACACATAGGTAATTACCAACCGTGCTAGCCCCAGAAAAACTGGAGAGGAACGTGCCAAGAAGTGACCTGGAGGTCCAGGGCCACCATCCACGCACCCGGCCCTAACAGAATCCGAACAGGAGACAACAGTCCTCCGAGCAGGGCAGAGGATCCAGGGCGCAGACGGAAGTAGTCCAGAAGAACTGCAGACTGGAAAAGCTCATGACTGCAAAGAGCAGACGGGAAAAACTCATGACTGCAAAGAGCAGACGGGAAGCCCAGAAGGATGGGGCGGATCGACCACGCCCCACGCACCCACGAAGAGGAAATGACGAAGCGCAGGGAAGAAGCCCACCCCGCCAGCTCTGAACCCCCCCCAAGGGGGAGAAGCCGTCCTCCGACGCCAGCCGAGGCCGGAAGACAACCCAAAGCGCCCACCAACAGCGGGACCAAGCGAGAGGCAACAGAGCAAGCAGCTCCCCCAGCGCCCAGTCAACAGAGAAGGGAACAGAACCCCTTCAGAAAGAAAAAGTACACTACCGAAGTCATGAGGAGAGACTACGGGAATGAAACCACACTTCGCTGGAAGAGGAAGTGAGGGGAGACCTGATCACCACATACAAGATACCCAAGGGAATCAACAGGGTTGAGAAGGACAGGATATGTAACACAAGGGGCACACGCACTAGGGGACACAGGTGGAAACTGAGTACCCAAAAGAGCCACAGATAGAATTATTTTTTTTTTTTTTTTTTTTTTTTTTTTTTTTGAGTGTCAGAATGGGAACGGGAAAGCACTAAGAAGTAATGTGGCGACTCCTCACACAAGTAACGAGGCTGACCCCCATACAATGTCACATGTAGACATGACAGAGCCCAAGAGGCACAGGAACCGATACACCTGTTGACGGACGGTTGAGAGGCAGGACCAAGGAGCCAGAGCTCAACCCCCACAAGCACAACTAGGTGAGGACATATATTGTAAAAGCACAAGCCGCCGACTAGTGGCAAAGAGCACTACGCCGGCCAGGCAAAGAAGGCACAAAACTGCATCAAAAGGCCCACCTCGACAGCAAAACCACAACATGTGCCAAGACTCAAAAAGCTCAGTCTGCAAGCCAGGAAGACCCCGGAACCCCAAAAGGCAGAACCGGGTCACACGAGGAAACAAAGTCCCCTGAACCCACAAAAGGGGGCCCAAGAGGAAGAAACCTCCAGAACGAAACCAAGGAACCCAAAGGAACCCAGAATCGAACCAGGGGGAGCCCAAACCACCACATTTGCCGGCGGAGAACACCACTAAAAGGCAAAGCACAGACCCCAGCAGAACGCCCTGGGAAAACGGTCCCAACAGACCGAAAACCGAGGGGCAAGGTGTGGGAGCAAGCATACCAGCCAGGGGCACTGAGCCTAAACCCAGAGGCTCAGACCCAAAATCAACACCCAAACGTTCCCAGAGGAACAGGCAACGGCAAGAAAACACCAGAAAACAAAGAAACGACAACAGGAGAACAAAAACCCTGCAAATTTTTTGAAAACTCACCAGAGACGCTCGCTCGCACACCCAGACGCATGTAAACAAACCGCAACGCCGCCCTGGTGGCCACGCCGGGAAACCGGCAGACGAAAATGGCCGCCAGCAGGGGCTGTGACTGACGCTTAATACACAAAAACACGCCAGCAAATGTGGGAAGCTAGCAGACTGGAAGGGCGAAAAACGACGCCCAACAGCAGAAAAACCCCTGAAGGGGCAAAACCGCCCCAGAACTGCTAGTAGGCATCCCCCACAGCCCCGGGAACCAACAACAGAGGCCCCGGGGCAGAGCCGGCCTCCAAGCCCTCCGCCCTGAAAGAAAAGCAAGACCCATGGGAAAGGCAACAAGAAAGGGCCGCTGGTAAGACCCAGAAGCCTTGGCAGGAGGCACAGGCTCAAACCTCCGTCCCCAACCCGAACGGGGCATCCCCCGAAAACCGCCCGAGTCTCTGCCGCAACTGAACCCCGCCCCGACCCCGAAACACGCAGACGGTCCGGAGCCGGGAACATGGAGAGAAAGGGGCGAGCAGCACCTAACCAAACGAGGCGGCCACGGGGCATTCGAGTGGGAAACCAACCTAGCATGTTGCAGCAACCTAACCTAGCTTGCAACACGGATGCCGCCTGTACTCTGAACAGTAATAACATCAGGAGAGTACTGGAGAACAAGCAGAGAATCACTCGCAAGACTCCGGGTCAAGGTGTCAGTGACCCAACAGGCAGCATGACGGAGGTAAAAATGGCGATTGTCACCCGGAGACAAGGGAACAGCAACCAACGATCCCGTACAAGACGGGTTGGAACCCGGAAGACACATTCAATGGTCCCCCGAGCCCAGACAGGGGTTTCCAGGGCCCGTAGGGTAACAACTACGGGAAGCCCGGGCAAGGTGTTGCTAACCGGTTAAGAAACCCAAACATAACAAGAGGGTAGATTATAGCACTGAAAACCCCCGAGACGTGTACAAGCACGGGGGCCTAGCAGAGGGCCGCCAAACACTACCAGTGGAACTATAACCACCTTAGGCAGACCCCCACCAGGCAAGAAAATGAAAAACAAAAGAAAAACCCCGCAAAAGTACACCGTCTCCAGAGGCAACAGAAACCGGCCGCCGCTTAGGTGGCAGGCTGCGCAACACCTTGACGCCCTAACCAGCACAATACCAATCCCTACCCAGGGCCAAACAAGGGCCCCAAGCCCCAGCTGGCCCCAAGGGCGAGGCAAATGCCGAGCAGCAAGAACCTCTACGGGAATGGTTCCCGAACGCCCCAGGGAAGATAACCCTGTAACGCAAGGGCAGTACTCACAGGGCGCTTAGGGAAGTCAGCCACTAAGCACATGCAGCCCCGGCACTGATGAAGTACTCCTGGCCACCGCACACCACAACACACGGCAGTGAACGCCACACAAGGCAAACACCGCCTAGGAAACTGAGGCCAGAGAAGCGTCAATCCCGGTTGACATTAGCGAACGAACTGAAGCTTGGCAGCCGGCGCGGTAGGTCCGGGGCTCCCCCCTCCCCCTCCCGGGGTGGGGAGGGCTGCGCGGACGATCGGCGCGGCAGTAAAGTGTGATGTTTGCTTGTTTGCTTGTTTCCTTGGGATTGTAGGGAGTTTTCTACCTCTCTGTTCGGTTTTTGTTGTAGTTTCTTACCATGTGGGGTTTGTTTTGTTACGCCTACCTTTCTGGGTGCCTAACCCCGGTCGATGGCAGATAAGGAAAACCCCCAACCATATGGGGTTTTCCAGGGCCATTGCTCCCTGAAACCTCTCTGAAGGGGCCAGGTTCTGGCGCTGGTCCCTGGTAGGTCTGAACTCCTTAGCTAATGTCCCGGTCTAACATAACACACATTAGCCCGATAAGCTCCAGGGAGCCGTAGGGGCTCCCCACAGAAAAAGCTACAAATCCCCAGCAGGAATCGACAGATTAACAGTTTCCAATGTTGACACGGAAGGGAGCAAACCCCTGTAAAAGCCAAGCTATACCCACAGCTAAACCATGGCCAGATTCCAAAACCCTCAGACAGCTTAGAGCAATGGGGGGAAGATGGAGGGGAGGCCAAAATGTTTGGTGAACTATGCCAGATGGAACTGGGGAAGGAGGAATAGCGGCAAACATAAAACAGAAGGAAATCAACAGCCACTCCAACTAAGATGCTGAAACACCACTGAGCCCAACTCCAGAACATCCATACGAGCACAAAGCTGTAAACCACAAACACAGGCAAAGCAAACCTTGATAAGCCTCTTCCCTAGAAGGAGGCTTAGCTACAAAAGACAGTAAACACAAATGAGTCATTACCATGTCACTTCACCCAGATATTGGGCAAATTTCCTGCCACCCTCTTCAATTTTGATGCAGTTTGGTACATTTATAGTTCTCAGTGAGAAACTGAATGACTTTTTTCTCCCATTTGTAGCTAAAATTGTTCTGAAGATACACAACCTAGAATTTTGCACAAATGGTAAATTTTCCAAGATCGTGCCTTAATTCAAGAAGACATATCTCGGCTCGTATGGCACATCCAGAGCTCATTCAAATGCCATTTTAAAGCTATTGAGTGGCTCTCTAACATTTATTCTATACACATTTAAGATCAGGGTTGAAATAAGAAGGTTAACCTTTACTTTAACCTTTGTAAGATCATTTGACATTAACTCTGATTTTTCAAACTCAAATAAATCATCACTTGGTATAAATGTGTATATTTTAGTATACAATATAAATTTTTTTAGGGTATTAATTTATTTTCCGAGCTACATTCATTTTACTGGACCTAACCTTAGCTTTTGACCTTGAGTACAAATCCAAACTTTCAAACCCTGAGATCACATCACAATGCTCATACAGTACTATTCAAATTACTTGTGCTGTCTCGACCTGAGTACTGCTCGATAATCATTTTTCCCTTGCAGAGCAGAAGAGATTGCTGAGTATTCAAACATTTATTTTACCCGAGTTCAGATTTTGGAAATACACCTTCCCTTACCTGTGGTATGATGTTTTCTTTTTTTTCATCCTTGAATAGTGGAGGCTGAGGCAAGTCACAGGTGAGGTAGAGAAATGGGCTCTCCTCCATCTTCACTTGGTATTCTGCAGACTGCAATAACCGCTTTCTTTCTTTCTCATCTATTTCCACTGGCAAGATCTGCAAAAGGAAAACAGAATCAGAAACTTTATTGATAATTAAAACAAATCGTTACAATTCTGCATAGACTGAACAAGAGTACAACAGTATAAATCAAACTTACATTTTCAGGTATAAATTGAATAACATTTAGCTTACAATTTGAATGGCAATGTACAGTGGTAAAACAATGTGAAGTTTACTATTGGAGTAGAGAGTCAGATACAGTATTAGCAAAATGTACATATGACCACATGCTTTCTGGACACCACTTAAAGATACGTTGGTTTCTCATTTGGAAAGTGCGTGAATAAAAGTTGCGGCAAAGTGATGAGAGCGAGTGGCAGGGACATGTCACAGTGTTTGCTTGGGTTCCTGGTGCAGCACTGGAACATTCATTTCTCCGATTTTCTTTGATATATTAGTAAAATTTATGAACATCCATCTGCCGTATCTACTGTAAATGAAGATATTTTGTTAGTAATAACTTCAGCATGCAGAACCCAAAGAGAAAGCATTCAGTGATGAGTTTTGAAAAGAATGAATGAATGAAATAGTAGGGGAGTGTTGTCCCAAGAGATGTATGCACCGAGTACCAAATGAGCAAGACTACTTTCTCAGAAATTATTAAGGTTAGACACACCGAGAGGCTAGGCAGGCTTTAAGGCTAGGCAGGCTGTCAGGATGGACAGGTTGCACAGTTAACTGACAGACTAGACACTGTCAGGCAAAACCAGATGTCAGGATTGACTTGATAGGCACGCAACAAAATCAAGTCCTAGAGATGGGTGGACTGTGATCAAATCAAATCAAATCAAGACCAGTCTCCGTGGTGTACTGGTAAGACACTCACCGGTGTTCCGCGAGCGCTTTGTCCTGGGGTTCGTATCCTGGCCGGGAGGACTTACTGGGCACAAATCCTTAACTGTAGCCTCTGTTCAACTCAACAGTAAAATGTGTACTTGGTTGTAACAACGATTCTTCGCGGCGGGGATCGTATTCCAGGGACCTGCCCGAAGCGTTACGCATACTAGTGGCTGTACAAGAATGTAATAACTCTTGTATATATCTCAAAAAAAAAAAAAAAAAAAATCTTCCTGTTGAACTCTCCCCCCCCTCCCTCTCTCCCACCACTCAAACTCTTCAGAACTCTACAAGTGCTTATCACTTGATGCAGGATTAACACCCTAACTGTGCATGCTATTAGATACATATTCTGTCATGCAAAAAAAAAAAAAAAAAAAAATATTTTTCTTTGGACATCATAATTAAGAATCAAGTAAGCATAAAAATCTATGTAAAACACCGGCGCTGAATGTAATGAAATGCCATTTTCTGGGTGAGACCCTGAGGCTACCCGGAGGCTCCACAGAGCTATCTGGGCTGATATGTATGTATAAGACCCAGGCATCAGTCAATGTGCATATGGTTCTAGGCCTACCAAGGACCATGAGCCAGAACCTAGCCCCCTCTGAGAGACATGAGGAGCAATGGTCTATAGACACCCCCGTGGGGTTGGAAGCATTCTATGTCTGCCATCGACCAGGTCAGGCACTCGAAAATGTAAGCACCCCAAAAAAAAAAATTCTAGTTAAAATATTGTTACTGAAAGCCGAACTAGTGGAGAGAACTCCCCAAATAAAAACGAGCAAACGAGCATGACGTCACACCGCTGTCTGTGCAACCTCCCTCCCTGGGAGAGGAAAGGGGAAGCCTCAGACCCCCTGCGTCGGCTATCCACCCTGTACTTTTGAGGCCAGATGTCAAAACATGCGAAAAACCGCTGACCAGAGGGAGGGAGGGCTGCCAGGAAGCCGCCTGATCTCACCTAGAAAATGGAGTTTCATTACATTCAACGCTGGTCTTCTGAGGGAAACCCCTTCGATTCCCCGGAGCTACAGTACTTACCCCAAAAACAACTCAAAATAGACCTACCAGGCAGGCAGTCAGCCCTCGCTCCTCAACTAGAAGTCGAGACAACTGGCTGCATCCGCCGACCCAATGCGACACAGGCCCGATTAGGCCTAGGAACATTAACACGGTAGTGAGTGGCGAGGTCCCTGTTCGACCTCCAAAAACCCCGTGCCCAAATGTCAACCCAAGACGTATTACTGAAGACGGCAGCCAAAGTAGCAAACTTACGAACGTCGTGGGCACAAGTATAGACCACAGCCTGGCTGGACTGAATAACCCCACGGACAACCTGGGAGACCCGAACCTTGGAACAGGAAAGAAAGGAAACCGGGTCAGCCCAAAGCACATCCCTGGCCATCCAGGCCGTGGCGCGCAGGTAACGGCAGAGAGCCGTAACCAGGCACGACACACGATGCACCCCCGGCCTGACCAATCAAGCATCAACAATCGTAGGACCCCTCCGGAAAGCAGCAGTCTCATTCTTCGCCAGAAAAGAAGGAGATGGCAACAAAAGAACAAACCTACCACCAGGACCAAAAGAGCAGAAACCCCTGCGCCGGAGGGGAGGATGAAGCTCCCAAACCCAACCCCCAAAGGCCAATGCAAACATGAAAAGAGCCTTCACCAAACAATCCTGAACGGAAGGGGCCACCACAAACCGAGGAGAAGAGAGAAAAGAAAGCACCCAGTCCAATGACCACGACGGCTCAAGCAGTGCATCGGTAAGCCAGAGATGAAACAACGCACAAGACAGCTTGTGAAACAGCACACAAGTAACATCTGGTTGATACCTGGTTGATGGGGTTCTGGGAGTTCTTCTACTCCCCGAGCCCGGCCCGAGGCCAGGCTTGACTTGTGAGTTTGGTCCACCAGGCTGTTGTTTGGAGCGGCCCGCAGGCCCACATACCCACCACAGCCCAGTTGGTCCGGCACTCCAAGAGGAAAGTAGATTTATTCCTCAAAGAAGATGTCCACGGTTGTTCCGGCAATATTTCTTATGCTCCCTGGGAGGGCGTTGAACAACCGCGGACCTCTGATGTTTATACAGTGTTCTCTGTGCCTATGGCACCCCTGCTCTTCACTGGTTCTATTCTGCATTTTCTTCCATATCGTTCACTCCAGTACAGTACGTTGTTATTTTACTGTGCAGGTTTGGTACTTGGCCCTCCAGTATCTTCCAGGTGTATATTATTTGATATCTCTCTCGTCTTCTTTCTAGTGAGTACATTTGGAGGGCTTTGAGACGATCCCAATAATTTAGGTGCTTTATCGCTTCTATGCGTACCGTATATGTCCTCTGTATTCCCTCTATTTCAGCAATCTCTCCTTCTCTGAAGGAGGAAGTGAGTACTGTGTAGTACTCAAGACGGGACAACACAAGTGACTTGAAGAGTACAACCATTGTGGTGGGATCCCTGGATTTGAAAGTTTTCGTAATCCATCCGATCATTTTTCTGGCTGACGCAATATTTGCTTGGTTATGCTCCCTAAATGTTAGGTCATCAGACATCATTATTCCCAAATCCTTTACATGCTGTTTTCCTACTATGGACACATTTGATTGTGTTTTGTACCCTGTACTATGTTTAAGGACCTCATTTTTACCATACCTGAGTACCTGGAATTTATCACTGTTAAACATCATGTTATTTTCTGATGCCCAGTCGAAAACTATATTAATATCGGCTTGAAGTTTTTCAATGTCTTCAGCCGAGGTAATTTTCATACTGATTTTTGTGTCATCTGCAAAGGATGATACGAAGCTGTGACTTGTATTTTTGTCTATATCTGATATGAGAATAAGGAAAAGAAGCAGTGCAAGGACTGTACCCTGAGGTACAGAGCTTTTAACTATGCTTGGACTAGATTTTATATGGTTGACCGTTACTCGCCGAGTCCTGTTTGACAGAAAACTGAGTATCCAGCGTCCTACTTTACCGGTTATTTCCATTGACTTCATTTTGTGTGCTATCACGCCATGGTCACATTTATCGAAAGCCTTTGCGAAGTCCGTGTATATCACATCAGCATTCTGTTTTTCTTCTAATGCCTCAGTGACTTTGTCATAGTGATCAAGTAGCTGTGTGAGGCACGATCTTCCCGCTTGAAATCCATGTTGGCCTGGGTTGTGAAGGTCATTGGTCTCCATGAAATTGGTGACCTGACTCCTAATCACTCTTTCAAATACTTTTATTATGTGCAATGTTAGTGCAACTGGTCTATAATTCTTTGCCAATGCTTTGCTCCCTCCCTTGTGTAGAGGGGCTGTGTCTGCTACTTTAAGAGCATCTGGTATCTCCCCCGTGTCCAAGCTCTTCCTCCACACTATACTGAATGCCTGTGCTTCCGGCACTTTGCACTTCTTTATAAATATTGAATTCCATGAATCTGGACCTGGGGCCAAGTGCATGTGCATGTTTCCAATTTCTCTTTCAAAGTCTAGTGCGTTCGTGTTGAAATCAGTTATATTTACAGGGGTTTGAATATCCCGCATAAAGAAATTGTCTGGATCTTCCTCTTTCATGTTGTTTATTGGAGTGCTAAACATGTCCTCATACTGCTTTTTTAGGATTTCACTAATTTCTTTGTCATCCTCCGTGTATGAACCTTCACTTGTATGAATAGGTCCAATACTGGCAGTGGTTTTTGCTTTTGATTTCGCATATGTGAAGAAGTATTTTGGATATTTCTTTATTTCCTGAATTGCTTTCTGTTCTAACTGCCTTTCTTCAGTTTGATATGAGTGTTTCAATTTCTGCTTGATTTCTTCAATTTTAAATCTCCTTATTTAAATTATTCCTTCTTTGACGGGAAATTCGTGTCTGCATAAGCATTTCCTTTATTTTTTCCTTCGTTTATAATGTTGTCAACGCTCTCTTTCAACGTAGGATCTCTTTCTGGCTTTCCTCAAAGGAACATGTTTCAGACAGACTTGATACACTTCCGAAGTCAGTTTTGCTATTCCTTCTGTAGGACTTGTATTACTTAGAACTGTTTCCCATGGAATGTTTGTAAGTTCCCTGTTTATTATCTCCCAGTCTATTCTTTTATTATTAAAATTGAATTTACTGAATAGCCCCTCTCACTTTATCAACGTTTTAGGTCTA